AAAAAAAAACAAAAAAACAAAAGGGCCTTTTGGAAAGGAAGAAGTCAGCAGGGACAAGGCCAAAAAATCCTGAGCTCCCAGGGGTGTGAGGAAGTACTGTTAATTGTGTATTTTTTTTTATTACCCTGCTTCTCCCCAGCTCAGCCCTTGAGGCTGTGACCCAGCAGTGCAGTGTTTGGGGACATGATCGGTAATGCCACCTAGCTTGAAAGTCCTCTGGTCTTTTCCTTATTTCTGGACTATTCACTTCTGAGGGCCTGAGAAGGTCATGGCACAGGTGAGGGGTCCAGCCTGTTAGGGTTAAGGTGTTTGGGTGACTTAAGATAGTTTGGAGAGATACTGAGATCAGAAGTAGAAAGAATGGTCCAGGTGCAGCTGCTTCAGCGCAGGCAGACAATTGAAAGATAAGTGCCACGGAACTAAAGTTACAAAGTCTTGACCCAGGGAAAGATCTGGGTCATGGTGCCAAAGTTATAAAGTTTCCACACTGGGAAGGACGTGAGCCATGGGGCTGAAGTTAGGAAGCCCTGATGCAGGGAAACACGGATCAAGGAGCCCTGTCACCTACCTGCTGTTTGCAGCAGCTCACTTACTCCAGGCACAGTTCTGGAACAATAAATCCTTTGACAGGACATGCCAGGATGTATATGTTTTAGTAAGTTTTTTTTTTTTTTCTTTTCATTTTAGTAAGTTTTGAAAACAGTCAGTTTTATAGCTGTACATAGTCATGTAATGGTTGGTCTTTCAAAATGACCAGCAGAGGAGAAGTGGGAAATGTTCACTGACAGGCAGCTAAGCAGATTTTCAACAGTATGGCTTGACAGTCATTCAAAATAAAGTCCTGAAGCTTTGTAATATGTTGGAACTGCAACTATGTGATTAAATTATTAGAAAATTTAGCAAGTGTTGGTTCTTTATCCCTTAAGATGTAGTAAAAAGTTGCGAATGCTAACAGTGTGAAAGTTCCAAATAGGCAAGTACTTGTAAAATAGCAAATAGCTTGATTTCTAATGTGTAAATATGCTATGGATACTTTAAAAAGACAGGGATGGTGGATGGGTAGGCATTTGCAGGTTCTTCCATTAAAAGTTCTTTATGAAATAGAGGTTTCAGAGTGGTTCTTTGACACCTGGTTTGTCACAGTAAGATGAAGGTATGAAGAATGTGTACCCTTTGTAGGGAAGATGGTGGTGCATTAAATATTTTATGTAACTTTTGTTTCAAGCTACAGATATTAGGGAAAAAATTTCATAGTGCAAACAGAAAATACTTAAAGTGGATTTAACATAACCTGGATTTGAAGCAACAAGTTTTTTTAGTTATTTTCCTTGAACTCACATCTTCTGTTTTCTTAGATGAGGTTCTCTGTTGACTTTTTATGTTATTTCTAATTGCTGTTTATATGGCTACTGAATTACCATCATGGTAATATTTAGCTCTTAATTAATACCTTTTTAAAGCTTTGTGTTGTAACAGAAGCAGCTCTTGACCAACAGAAGAGAAGATACCTGGTATATGCTGCTGAATGGTCACCTTTGGTTGTGATTAAATTACACAGTGTATTTTTGCTATATGTGTTCCAAGATTGATAAAAAGCTGGCCATAATAGCTACTTTAAAAGATAATTCTTCAAATGCTGGTAGGGCTGTGGGGAAAAGGAACCCTTCTCCACTGTTGGTGGGAATGTAGACTGGTACAACTACTGTGGAAATCCTTGGAGATTCCTCAGAAAACTAGGATCAGAGGTCCCATTTGACCCAGTTAGTCCCCTTCTGGGTATCTTCCTGGAAGAATTAAAAACATCATACCACAATGATACATGTGCACATATAGCAGCTCAGTTTGTAATAGCTAAATCTTGGAAACAACCCAAATGCCCATCAACTGAGGAATCGATAAAAAAATATGTAGTATTTTTATATAGTGGAGTATTCCTTAGCTATAAAGAAGGGTAAACTTGAGGCTTTTATAGGTAAAATGGATGCAGCTAGAGACCATACTCATAAGTGAAATAAATCAAACTCACATGTGTGAACACTGTATTGTCTCTCTAGTGTAAGAAACTGAAAGAGTAAATGAGATCCAAAATACACAATAGGTACTGTGAAAGGAAAAGAAACTGCTCAAAAGGAAAGAGCAACTGGGATGGAGGAAGAAAAAAAAATATACACACAAGATAGCTAAGATAATTATATTACTAATTTCTATTAGTTCATTGGAAGGAGTGATTTGCTCTAGTATTGTTTAATCAGCTTTGCATGCCTATATCTTATAGTCTGAGCAACTACTTTGAAGATACTGTGCAATGTAATAACCACTATTATTTTCCTATTATCTGGTTTTGAAATTCTGTATAGGGGCTGGGGATTTAGCTCAGTGGCACAGCACCTGCCCAGCAAGCGCAAGGTCGTGAGTTCAATTTCTGGTACCGGAAAAAAACAAAACCAAAAAAAAGAAATTCTGTATCCTTGTTTTTAGTGACGGTGTTAAGTTCCAGGTTGTAAATTTCAACCAACCACAGTCTCTTCACTGGCAATTTCATTTGCTTCTCCAGCAATACCCAGCAAACGAGAACTCTAAACTCACCTCTGAGAAGGCCGGAGACTATGAGCATGCAGCAGCATACATGAAGAATAGACAAGTGAGGTTGCCACTGGTGAGTTCTCACTTTAAGAGTACTTCATAGGGAAAGGGAAAAAGCATGTTATATGGAGATTTAGGAGGTTACTGCACATGTTTATAATACTTGTGATCTCTGAACTTCATGAGTTCAGGTGACTTTTGATGCCGTGTTGAACGGAGTAAATTTGTTTCCATGGGCCGAGGGAGGAGCACTGTGTCTGGAGCAGTGTGGAAGGGGAAGAGGCTTGGGTGACAAGGGTCTCTGCTGTCCAAGGCACTGCTGACTCTGTTCCAAGGTAGAATTCAGAGCTTTGTGAACTTAAATGGGGGAAAGGTACTTTCTCCTTTTCTGTAACTTCTGTGTGAAAAAACCTTTTGAAAAAATTATGATGTAACCATGCCTGATGTCAGCTGTACCTGTGACTTTGTCATCAGTAGAAATTGTGGATATTCTTGTGGCACACTTCTGCTGACCTCCTAGAACAGTGCTCACATTTGTCACTTCAGATCATTTAGGTTCTAGAACTGCCACTGGGTCAATGGCCTGTGCAGTGCTGTACCCATTACTGTATTGAAATGTTTAATTCATTTCCTTTGTATCATATGTATTGACTTTGTGGCTTGTTCAGAAAAACATGAAAATGTTTTTCCCTCCTATGCTATTTGATGAGTCAAGATAGGATTTTATTGTTTTCATTTTCTAGATTAAAAATTTAAGATAGAAACCTTTTTCAGTCTGTCTCTCTCGCCCTCCCTCCCTCTCTCATTCTCACCATCTTTATGTGTACACCCACCCCCTTTTGTCAAGAGGGCATAGTGGTGGGAAGGTGGCATTCAGTTAGCTTCAGGTCATAATTCTGTTAAGAGTAAACTATGTGTGTGTGTTCAAAGAAGCTAAGGGGTTTTGGTCATCTCAGTCTACAGTTGAAAAACAAGCCTATTCTTACTTCCATATTGCATCTAACATTTTCTTTCTTTTCCTAATTTCAGGGAACTCTAAGTAAATCAGAATGGGAAGCTACAAGTGAGTATATGTATCATCAGTGCAGGATAACTGACAGCTCCACAGTGTCTCAGAGTTTCTCTGGCATGTTTCAGGCTGTGCGTGTTTATGCACTGTGTGCCGGGGCCCTGAGTCTAACCCCCTTTCTTGCTCCGCTGTGTGGTGATGAGGAAGCCATATAGGCTGTGGCTCGGGAGCGTATGTAGCATGTTTATTGCCTGCGTGTCCTGAATGCTGTCACCCTCTGGTGTCTTCCTTGGAATTCTGTTGGACTCAGTGGCTGACATGGAACGTGCTGTGTTCTCTCAACCGTGGCTGTGCTGGTGCTGACTGAGGCAACAGTGAAGGGTGCACACAGGCAGGGTATGGAGAGGCCTTGGAGAGCCTGAGTCCTGGTGTATCTCCAGAAGAGAGAGGACCACGGTCCCCTCAGGGGTGCCCTGAGGCTCATCTCTCTGTATGTTTCTGTCTTCCACCTGCTGCACGGTTGAGTGTTTGTTGCTTATGTTGATGGCGCAAGTGGTAGAGACAAACTTTAGAGGATAAAGAAGCAAATAAGTGAAGTCTTCGCCTTCTACAGTTCAATGGAAGAAATAGGCACCAGTAAAATGTACTCCTAGGCAAACTTAGACAGTGCTGCAGTTACCATAATAGGAAGAACAGGTGGAGAGTGTGATGGAAAGAGTGATGTCTCAGAAGTAGCACAGTAGTTGCTATAGCTGAGTGTTGTACGTTTGCTGGTGCTGTTGGCGCTGGCCTCTGCTCTGACTCACACTGGTGTTGCAGCACTTCCTGAACACTGTGGTTGGCATGCGTCCCTCCCACAGGTGAGGGAGCAGCAAGAGAACCTTGTGGCTCACCCAAGGCAGCTGTTTTACATGGCTTCATGGAAGTCCTTGCTATGGGTGGGACTGTGAGAAGTTTGAGAGTTGCTAACTGTGCGTCTCAAGTCAGATTCTAGCTTTTGGTAGAGTAAGGTGACCAACCTACATTAGGGGAAAGGGTACTGAGGGCTGGTTTGCAGTGGCTTTGGATGGCTCTGGTGTGAGCAGGGCGGCACTGTAGGAGGGTACTAGGGTGGGGCCGAGGTGAGAAGTCTGCAGTTCTAGAGCCCATGAGCATTCTGCCTGCTCATTGGCCTTTGCTGACAGCCACAGTCACTGCACTGAAGGAAGAGTGAAGCTAGTTGATAAGGAACAGCATAGTAACAACCAGGAAGTATCTCAGGAGACTGGGACAGCACTACTATGCTGGGTGGGTTGGGAGAGCGAAAGGTCTGGAAGCTGTCTCAGGCCTTCATCTATCTGTCCTGCTTTAAAGTTAGCTCAGCTAACATGTGTTACCTTTGTCCTGATTGATATTGAATATCCTAATAATGTGCCCTGAACAGCTGGTATCAGAATTAGTCACCTTTTGAAGAAGTTTCTTACCATGCATCCTATGGGTGTCTTATTAGATGTGGCAGGGTAGACTTTGCGTGGTGTGCATAAGGACTCATGTTCTTGACCTGTCTGTATATGGACACGTGCCACAGTAAGGTGTCTTAGTTCTGGGTGCATGCAGAAGTGTCACTGCAAGGCCACTTGGCCATGTTCTCTGAGCATCTCTTGATATGTGCCTTACGACTCACTTTCCTTGCTAGGCCCTGCAGCACAGCAGCGAGATAACTGGGTGGATTTCACTATGTCTTGTTATATGTGTTTTGTGTTTCTTCTAATTTTACATTGTGTATGCCCTATATAAATTAAAACATAATTGGTTTTAAAATAGAAAACTTAAATTATTGCTGCTTGTTAGGTGATTATCGTACCTTGTGCCCGGTAAAAAGATTTGAGTCATATGGGGCTTTTTGGTTTTCTTTGCTTTTATGCTTTTAGGTTTTCTTACATGAAACCATTTTTAGAGATTTTTAGAGCTGTAGAATAGGCTTTTCCATGACCTGCATTTTCTCTATTACAATAGGTAGATGCTTGTTTTGAAGTAAATAAAATGATTCCACAGCTGCCTAAGTATGACTCAAATAATAGAGCTTTTAAAATTAATGAAGTTTTTCTCCCTCAAAGGCTGCTTGAAACCCCTAAGGGTATTCACCCAGCTGTGAACAGGACTGAGGTTGTTATGCTGTTGCTCTGAGGATGTGAAAAGCTAACCCGGCTTTCCTGTTTCTTCCCCAGGTATTTACTTGGTCTTTGCCTTTGAGAAGCAGTAGTAAGCTCACAGGCACTGAGGCAGCTCTGTCCCGTGCAGGATTGAATATCCGTCTCAGACAGACTCGACAGCGCTCTCTGTGTGCATTGTAATCGTAAATTCTAAATGTCTAAATGTGCAGGCTGCTGCTGGGAACGCCAGTATATCTAATGTTTGCTGTCTGTGACAGATAATTTTGCGTGTGTATGTAAAAATGAGTTGGGACCTTCATCTTTAGAAATGTATTTTTAAGTAATGTGCTAAGAATTCATTTGCCTCTACTGTGTTCGCTCATAAAAGTTATCATATGACATGTTAAAGCAGCTGGACTCTACACAGTGCTCCAGTTTATCGAGTGTGTGTTTACAACAGTCCACTTCCTGCAGCTGCCAGTGTGGTGATAGAGCACACCAGCTTGCCTGTGTGTGGGCTCATTTCCACAGTTGTGTCACATGGTAGTTTTAAGACTAAATGGATCATGTTGTGTACATTTAAATGTAAATGTTCAGTATATATTACTATAGATTTAAGTTTGTAACTTGATATTAGATTGTCATAAAATTACTTAGCTAGAATTTTTTCTTTGTTGTATTTCGGTATAACTATTTGCTAATATGCTGCAGTTCCAGAACTTTTTAGAACATTGACATGGCAGCATAGAGTTATTTTGGGATTTTCTGACTTTCTGTTAAGAATTTTCGGCTATAGCAATCATTGCATCCAGCCGTCAGATTGTTACTAGGCACCACGCTTGCCCTCTTCTTCGAGTAGGAATGCCGTGGTGTAGCTTTTCTCCAGATTTAGTGACACTCACCCCCCCATAGACCTACTGGAGTTTTTCAGATTTCTACATGTAACTGCAATAGGCATGTGGATTTTGGAGTAGTCCTGACTGATGTTAGGTCTAGGTTACTGATGCTGAATACGCAGTGCAGCCAGAATTAAATGCTTCCTGTTTCTCTGTTATATCAGTGCTTTTACACAGTAGGAGCCATGTGTGATCACCATTTTGGATTTTCATTTGCCATTTCAGAATCATTGGCAGGTTAGCATTTGTGGCCAGGCTTGGTGATAAGCACCTGTAGTCCACTCAGGAGGCTGATGCAGGAGGGACACAGGTTTGAGGTCAGGCTGGGCAACTTCGTGTACCAAAATAAAAATAGAAAGGGCTGGGTATGTACTTCAGTGGTGGAACACTTGCCTAGTGCAAGGCTCTGGGTTCAACCCCAGCTTCTTAACCAAAAAGACAGTCATGTAATTGACAGTTTTTCACAACTGATGATTGTGTGAACTGTTGTCATTACATTATGTCAGCATTTAGGAAACTTGCTGGTTTTTAGTACTGAGAAACTTTAAGAGCAGAGCAAAGCAAAGTAATTGTGTATTATTTAAATCACTTATTTAAAGCATGACTTACAAAGATGTTGCTTTCTGTAACTATCTGTAGTACTTGTTTTAAAAACAGCCTTAGTTTGTATCTGTTGTTCACGGTGTTAGATTAGCAGTCAAGTAGCAAACTTATGTGTGGCTCCCAGTGGCCAGGCAGGGCGACTGCTAATACTAGGAGGGGAGCTGCTGCTGGGGTGCGGGCTTGCCTCATCCGGCCAGGTGCCAGTGTGTCTGGAGAGTTTGACAGGTGCAGAGAGCATACTCATCCCATCCTATGCTGCTGTGTTTTGGCCTCAGTTAACAGGTAATACGTGTATTTTTAGTCTTGTGTAGCCCTTTCCACTCCATGGGTCATTTCAGGGAGAGAAGAATTTCCCCAAGGGATCGAATAATTGGTAAAACATAGCAGAGAGAAGAGCAAAGGTAGAGTTACTGAGGCTTTTGGTGTGGAGGAAGGAGAAGCTAGCTGGTGGGAGAAGGGCTCTGGGCCCATGCCAGCTGTTGCAGATGCCTAGCACAGAGTGCAGACAACCACAGTGTTCCTGGAACTATTGTTCCCTTGCTTTATCTGTTGTCCTTACTACCCACCACTGTGAGTCTGGGCAGTGACAGGGGTCAAGGTGAAAGGGCTGGGGCTCTCTTGCATTCTGCAGGCCTTTCCTGTGTGCGTCTCACTGGGGAGGCAGTTATCCAGTGGTCCCAGCCCTGCCACCTGCCATGCAGTTTATCCTGCATGGTGGAGTTAGAGATGAATATCTGAGCAGCCATTTGTGGAATGGCACAGCCTGGTGTGGGAGCAGGGCTGTATTGTGTATGTCCACAAGCACCGACATTGAATTCTTTGGGTCTGGGGTCTGCCTCAGGGAAAGGCATGGTGGCCAGTGTTGAGAGGCCTAGTGGGACTCCTGGGGACACTTGGCCTTGGACAGGAAGGAGAATGAGCCTGTGTAGACTGGAAGTTTGCTTATAGGTACAGCCTACTCCGTTATCCTACACTTGGAACTTGAAGAAACAGGATTGCTGTCTGATTTCATGTGTGTAGTTGGGGATCAGAACAGAGGGCTATCTTGATGAGGTTGAGGGCAAGGTGCACTGTGTTCAGCAGGGAAAAGCAGAAAGGCTTGTGGGCCACAGAGATTGAGATCCCAGCCACACCAGCTCTCCCAGGAAGATGCCCTGGAGCCTGTCTTGGTTCATTGCATAAGTTGTTCTCTGTGCATCTGGCGTGCCTCTAAAAAAGATTTGGCTTCTTGTTAGGCCTGCATGTGGTATGGAAGCACCAGTGTAGACATTCTAGCTGCTGAGCATTATTTTCACTGTAAACTGGCTCTCTGTTGTCTACCTCAAGCTCTATGTACTTGAGTTATCTGGAACCAGTCACTGCAAAGGTCCTTAAATCTGCAAAGTAGAGGCCAGACCCAGGCACGTGGACCCTGATAGAAGTGGTACCAAAATGCTTGTGGTTCATTGTGGCTTGGCTGTGGGGACTTTGGTTGAACCCCAAGCCCTCTCCCTAGAACTGCTTGGCTATCTTCCTCAGGGACAGTATTCCTTGGATAAAGCCGAGTTGACAGCTCACATTTTTGAGACTCCTAACTTGTGTCATTCGCTAAGTGTTTTGCCTGTGGTAACTCATTTCAGTCCCTTTAATATCTCTGAAGTAAGCACCATCATTACCACTGCAATGACAAGAAAATGAGAGAGAGAAGATGCTGACCCAGGTAGCATACACCCTGGCTGCATGTCACAGGTGAATCGTCACCTCGTCACTATCTGCAGCCTGAGCTGTTCACTGTGGAGGCTCCAGTATTTTGACTCAAAATGTTGGTGCTTTGTTCCATGTTCCCTGAGAGGAGTATTGATTCCTTCATGAGAGGCTTTACAGGGAGGGTGGCGAACTGTCCAACACTTAATGTACTGATAGGAGGCAGAGAACCTTGAATTCTGCAGTGGGATGAAGACCTGCTTCTCACAGCCAGGCCTGAAAGCTCTGTCAGGAGTGGTGCTCTTCTGCTTTGGTTGTGGAATTGCACCAGGAGACTTCCTTGGCCTCTGCTGAGGACCAAGCTCTGCAAGTGTAACATTTGTACAGTCAGGTCAGTGATTTTCACAAGTCGATCACATGCATGCAGTTATATCTCCTACCCTGTCAGGTCCTTTCTGGTGACACCTTCCCTTGCTGTAACTAACCACTGTCTGGTTCAAGGAGTATTATATGAATGGAATTAAACATTATGCATTTGTTGTATCTGGCTTCTTTGATTCAACAGTATGTTCATGAGATTTTTATTACATGCATTTGCACATGGTTCGTTCTCATAATTGTGTAATATTCCAACGTATAAATAAACTACATATTACCTGATGGAAGTGTGGTTCATTTCCAGCTTGGGAGCTGTTACTATTTCCCTAATCATTTGTAGCACCTCAGTTCACAAACTCAGTTCTCTCCATAGTTCTAGTCGCAAACCAAACTGAACGAGAGCTGAGTCAAATTTCCCCATAAGATCAACATTGAACCTAATGATCAGATTTGATTTGGTTCTCATCTAACTTGATTTGTGACCAGAATCATGCAAAGAATCAAGTTTCTGAGCCAACATACCACTCAATCTTTGTGAACATAGTTATACATAGATATGTCACTGGATGATAGGTCTGAGGAAGTACCCCAAAGAGGAGATGGGGACCACAGCTTGTTCCTCTCAATGGAGTAGGTTCATTAACTCTCTTTACAGAAAAAGAATTTGAGGCATAGACATTTATTAGGTAGAGTTGAAGTATTGAGAGAAAATAAGCATTGTTGGTGCTTAAGAGAGAAATGCACTGGGGTTGGGGATAATACAAGGTGTGATTTAAAAATACAATGGATGTTTAAACTTGAAATTGTTACAGTAAAAGACCCATTGCCATTACCCCTCTCAAAACTCCCCTTTCTTTTGAATACATTTATTTCATTCTTACCACTGAGTCCTCTTTGGTGAGTGTCCACATTTGCATGGTTATGGCTACCTCAGTGTCCCGAGTCAATTCAAAAACATTTACCTTGCCTAGTCATTTTGACGTTGGGCAAGAGCTAGAAGTCACACAGTGCCAGATCTGATGAATAAGCTGAGTGAAGGACCACTGATGTTTTCATGACCCCGCCTTTCCATTAGGTGGCACCTGGTAGCAACATTTACTGTGCTTTTGACTCTGCCTTGTAAAGATACTCATGAAAGAGGACTTCTAGAATGGCTTCAGAAAGTGGCAAATGATAAGTGTGTTTGAAGTAAAGGAGTATTCTGAGGGGGGTTAAGGGAAGTGTGTGTGTTTTTTTTTAAATATTCACCACAATTTGCAGTCGCACCTTGTACAATAATAGTTGAAGCTTTCAACACCACATTTTCAGTGGATAACAAGGCAGAAGATGAGATAGAGCGCTTAACATACTAAGTTGTCTACTGCCTATAACAGGGATCACATTACTCTCCACTCTTGCAGCAACATACAGTCTTCTCCAGTGCACAGGATGTTTCCTGGGGTGGACTGTGGGTTGGACTGCAGGTTAATACAGCTGAAGACAGGTGTTACAGAAAGTGTATTTCCCACCCACAGTGACATGAATGTGGATATATGTAACAGGAAATAAATAGCAAAATTCACAAATTTTGGAAATTAACAAAACCAGCACATGAAAGGCAAAATCACAAGGAAAATTAGAAAATGCATAGAGACTAAGGGAAGCATACTAAAATCTAGGCTGCTGCAAAAGTCCTGATAATGGTGGCATTTTATAGGTACACATGCATTAAAAATATTTCCAAACAGCCTAACTTTAAACAGAACAAACTAAACCCAAAGTTAGCAGAAGAAAGGAAATAATAAAAATTAGAGCACAAGCAAAATAATTTTTAAAAAGATGTTTCTTTGAAAAGAAAACATCCAATCTTTTAGATAGATGGACTGAGAAGACTCAAATTACTAAAAACAAAGTGGGAAGATTACTTAAGATTCTACATAAATAATGGGTTATAAATATTATGAACAATTATAGGCCAATAAGATAAATTATTAGAGACCTAAAGTTATCTAGACTGAATCATAAATAGAAATCTGAGAAGATATTTAACTAGTTATCAAACATTTGGCAGAGCAGCGAGAAGACATAACGGACTAAAATGTGTACATCTTACTAACCCCACAGCAATTATTACACACTGCAAATATGTACTAATAAAAATTTTAAACTAAGCTAAAAAACATCTGACAAAAACCCTGGACATCTTCACTGGTGAATTCTACCAAATGTTTAAATAAGAACTAATACTAGTCCTCAGGCATTTCCAAAGAAATTGGAAGAGAAGGAAATAATTCCTTCCTTATTTTGTGGGGCTAGCCATACCCTGATACCAAAGCCAGAGACCTTAGAAGAACAGAAAACTAGATCAATAATATCAGTTGTGAGCATTGATGGAAAGCTGTCGCCAAATTCAGCAGTATATTAAAGTGATTATAGCCCATGACTAAGTGGGGTTTAATCCTAGAATCCAAGGATGGCTCTATACGTAACTTGCACCATATGTTGATAGGAAAAGAAAAAGCCCACATGATTGTTACAGTTGAAGAAAAAAAAAGCCAACTAGGAATAGAAGGAAGCTACAACATAAAAGCCATTTTTGGAAACCCCATTGTGAATATCATATTCACTGCTGAAAGGAAAATCTTTTCCTCTAAGATAAAGAACAAAAAGGATGTTTTTTTTCTACCAGTTCTGTTCAGCATAGCACTGGGAGTTCTAGTCAGAGCAATTACCAACAAAATGAAAGCCACTGAAATTGGAGAAGAAAAAATTATCTCTTCACAGATGAAACATCTTTTATGTGTAGAAAACCCTAAAGTGTCTACCAAAAACAACCAAGTTAGCAGAAAAGTGGGATGCAAAGTCAGTATTCAAAATTGTTTGCAGTTCTATGAAATAGCAGTGGACAATCTGAAAGGAAATTTAAGGAAGCAGTTTTATTTACAGTAATTATAAAAAACAGGAAGTAAAAGACTTGTGCAATGAAAACAAAGAAATGAGACATAAATGAATGGGAGGCATCCCATGTCCATGGATTAGACTTCAGATTGTTAAAATGTCAGAAGTACCCATGGTATTCTGCAGATTCAGTGCATTCACAATGAAAATCTCAGTGATGCATTTTGCAGAAATAAAAACCTGTGGGGAGCAGCCAGCTAAAGCTGGAGATTGATCACGTGCAAGGTGAGCCGTGAAAAGAAGCTGCTGCAGGTTGGAGAATGGGAGGTGCTCGGGCCTGCCAAAGTTGTTCGGCAGAGGAGTTGAAATTGCCATGAACCTGAGAGTATAAATAAACATGGCGAGGTGGTCGAGCAGTTCCTTTTTCTCAGTCAGGGAGGGCTCCACCTCACCTCAGCTTTCTGTATATTGTCTCTTTATTTCTCCATCCCCTCGCTGTCCTTCCGACCCCCCACCCCTGGGAACTTTGAGAGCGGCGCTGGGTATGGCATACGGTGCTTAAACACATGGTGAGGGGACAGGTCTCATTGTGTGCTCAAAAGAGGAGAAGTGTATTGATGGCATCAGTATTAATCACAGAGGTGTACTGATAGTGATATCATCAGGGGTAAAACTTGGGGCAAGAGAAAAACAGGCTCACAAAAAACAAAAGGGAGAGAAGTGTATTGATTTTATCAGATGTTAAACACGGGGCAAACATTCTCAGGAAGCACAAATGTATATGGAACTCTTGGTTATATTCTTGATTCCTATATTTTGTGGACTTGCACTAGGGAGTGCTTTAATGGTTGTAAGTCTGTTGGGATGACACAAAGGATTTGGCTTGGAACACTATTTTAAAATCAAGCCTGGAGTGGGGGAGAGTGGTGGAATAGCAGCCATCCCAATAACTTTAACTGAGCCACAAGTGGTGATTCCTGCCTTTTGAGCTCACAGAAGTTTTGCTGTGTCACGGGTTGGAACTTCTGCCTCTCAGGGAGTAGGGCTGTTTTCTCCCTCTCCCTTGCAGTTGGCCCTTACAGAAGCCAGATGAGTGGGGGAGTCCATGGAGGGTTTTCAGTATGTCTGTCCCGTTACTGAAGTTCAGTTTGCAATAATCTGGGACAATTTATACATCTTCATGAAGCTGTAATCTTTAAGTCCTTATAAGAATTAAAACAAGCTACAGCTACCTATGGCTGTATGGCCCCTTTTACCTTGGATTTAATAGAGCTCCAAGGACAACAGATTATGGCTTTAAGTGATTGGAAAGAAATAACTAAAGCATGTTTCAGTCCGGGGGATTATTTGTTGCGGAAAGGAAATTTTTTTGAATTGTGCACAAATTAGGGTGCTCACGGTGCTGTTTACAACATAAACATGACAAAAGACATGTTAACCAAAGAAGGTGCCTTTGCTGCCACAAATAGTCAACTTTTGAATTACAAGTATATGAACAAATTAAAATAGCTGTCACAAGGGAGGGAACTTCCTGCAAAGGGTGAGACATCCCTTGATTTGACTTCCATTCATCAGGGTTCTGATGAACCTTTTCAAGATTTTGTGGCACACTTACTGCAGGCTAGTGGAAGGATTATAAGTGATACAAAGCTTAGCAAGTTAATAGTTCAACAGTTGGCCTTTGAAAATGCAAATAAATGGTGTACAGAGGCTTTCAGGGCCCACAAAAAGGGGCAGCACTGGCTGAGATGATTCAAATTTGTGCAGACATTGGCCGCTTGTATGTGCGGGCGACTGCCTTGGCAGCAGCTGTCACTCAGGTTATTCATCCACAGCCTAGAGGAAAGAGAAAAAACAGGGTTACTTGTTTCAGCTGCAAGGGCAGGAAGCATTTTGCCAAAAGTTGCTCTGCTGCACCTGTAGGGGCAGCACAGCCACTATCTGTCCTTTCAACAAGACCTACTATCTGTCCAAAGTGTAGATGAGGATTATCATTAGGCAAATAAGTGTAGATCCAAAATGAATATGGAAGGCCGACCCATTTCAGGAAACTTCCAGCAGGGCCTACTCCTGCCCTGCTGAACAGTGGGGGCACTTTCCCTAATTCATCCCCAACCCTACCCTCCAGTGCCAAGCACAATTCTGACCTCTGGCAAGCAACAAAAGACAGTGGAGGCTTGGGCTTCAGTTCCTCCTCTAGATTTATACTAACTCCTGAAATGGGACCCCAAGTTATTCCTACTGCAGCCTATGGACCTTTGCCTCAAGGCACAGTGGGACTCCTGCCGGGCCACAGCAGCCTCACTTTAAAAGGTCTCCAGGTGTTTGGTGTTATTGATGCTGACTTTACAGAGGAAATCAAGGCTATGGTTCAATCTGTTCAAAACACTGTACAAGCCACACCA